GGACACTGTACCTAAGTCAAGAAGCATATATTGACAAGATCGCTCATCAGTTCGAAATCAGCAACAGCGCTCCCATCAGCACGCCGATAGAAACCTCGCCACTTCCAGAGAATAGTCCAGAATACAGATGCCCTCCAGATCAAAGAACCACCTACCAACGCATTGTCGGATCTCTGATGTATATTATGCTTGGAACCAGGGGGGATGTCGCATATGCTGTCTCTATGGCGAGCAGGTATCTAGCAAATCCTGGACCACAACACATGAAACTAGCTCGACGCATCCTGCGATATCTCAACGGCACAAAATGCCTCAGGCTCACGTACAAGGGTCATCCCCAGATGCTGAAAGGCTTTACAGACGCAGACTGGGGTGGATGTCGCGACACTAGACGTTCAACAGCTGGATACCTTTTCAATATCGGGAGTGGAGCAATCAGTTGGCAGTCGAAGCGCCAAAGCGTCGTTGCCCTCTCGACCTGTGAAGCTGAATTCTTAGGCCAGACACAAGCAACCAAAGAAGCAATCTGGTTGAGAAGACTTCTCAATGAGTTAAACATGAGACAAGGAAAAACCGCCACGATCATTTTTGGTGACAACCAAGGAGCCATCGCCCTGTCCTCGAACCCGCAATACCATTCCCGCACGAAGCATATGGAAATCCAACGCAAGTGGCAAGGAGAGGTTCAAGACCTTGGAACAGTGGAGCTGAAATACATTCCAACTACCGAGCAAATTGCTGATGGGTTCACGAAGCCTCTTGCGCGAGAACGATTTGAATGGTTTCGCAGAGGGCTTGGCATTGAATGACACCTCGCCGCTTCCAGATCTCGGGCAGAGGCCAGATCTCGGGCAGAGGCCGTTCGGGTACCCTTTCCTTCCTTTTCCTTTGAAAGGTTTTTTGAAGGTTTTACTGGGGCCCGTCACAACCGTGATGGATGGTCGCTGGCACTCTTGGTGGTGGTTGCCATCGAGTGGGAGTGTTGAGTATCACGGTGGCTGAACCTGATGGCAGGGATTAGGAACAGATATATATGAGACATCCCGCCCCTGTTAAAGATAACTCCTTAAGTCAATCTAAGTCAATCAGACAATCACTTATCTCAACAATCTCAACAATTCATATTCGCAATATTCATGAATATATGAATAATTCATATTTATTCATATTATAAGATACCATACATTACCATTCGTTCCATTACATCCCAATACATCAACAACACTCATATACTCTATTCCATAGTGAATTACATGCCAGTCTTTGATTCTGAAGCAATGGAAGTTACATACATGCATCACTAATAATTTATGTCGGAGATTTTCCTCTCAAAAGCATCAGCCATCGCATAGTCTCCGCATTCAAACGGTGCCTTCGGAGGCCCACAAGATCTCGAGCATTGCTAAACTCGCGTTCAATTCCGACCTCTGCCGAACGGATGGGTAGATAATCGCGAGCGGCTTTTGCCATGAGTCGAGCTACCTGGGATGGAGTTAGAAACTGATAGGGGAGTTGAGGATGGGATGATGGTTGACAGGCCCAGTCATGTTCGCGTTTTATATGTCTTCTTGACATGGAAAGTTGGTAGATCTCTTTTCTGTTTTCTGCAACGCGACATTGACGATTCTGAACGTAAACAAATGCCGCCAGGGTCATTGGAGGCTCTGAGTCGTGAGGCGAACGCGTTTTTACGTGCAATTTCTCGGGGCTACTTTGTGCACCAAGTTTGAAATGGATTGAAATGAGTTCAGGGAACTGAGAAGATCTATCCGGTTAATTGTCTAATATGATCCACAATTGTATTGACAGATATATATAATGTTCATGGATCTTCTTGGCCGGTGTCAAGTTTCTATGGACAGACCCATGTGAATGAGTATTATGTCTCAAAAAGATCCACTACGATACATCAAACTGGTCAACTCTACATAATCAGGTTGTACCTTTCAGCATATATTTGCAACGGGAGTTCATAGTCCAGCGTTGCTGATGAAGTGATAGTATTGTGAAATCGACCACTAAGCGCATTTCGGTAATACGATAACCGCTGTACCGGATAAAGTATTAATGCGGAGAAATCACACAATATGAATAATATGAATGCGAATATGAATAATGCGTTTATTCGCGCGAATAAAAAATTCATATATTCATATTCGCAGTCCGCGAATATGAATATGCTGTATATTCGCATTCCTTTATTCCTTTCGGAACCCTACGTACAGGCTTTGGCACGTCATGCTGTGTGTGGTAAGTATGGATGATCTCAGTTCTGCAGTGTCGGGATGCTGATGAATGCAGTCGAAACGAAGGAAGTCTAGACGCCTTGATTCGTCCAATCCGAGTCCCCTCGGCAAGCGAACCACCAGCCGATAGAGAGCCTGTCACCGTCAGAAATTCAGCACCAGACGAACCTCGTCAGAGTCAGCTGCCTCAGCGGTCAATGGGATCCCCACGGGTGTCAGTCGAGCAGAGTGGGCCCCGTCGCTCAGCCAGAGTGGCAGGGGCTCATCTACCGCGAGACCCGTCTACCTCTGCACCGCTTCGCCGGTCGGCACGACTGAATTCCACTCAGCGTAGGTGATTACAATTTACAGCAATCGCACGACGGAAATGGAAAATCTGTCAATCACACGTGAACGCACATGACCAGACGCTGGCATTCGGACCAGCAATAGAGAGATGGAGTTTTGGAGCAAACTTAGCAACCAAATGAATGGGATCCTGATCGTTTGACTCCAGAGCACTACGCGACCGATTCGCATTTGCAAGTGCTACTTTTTTATGAGCCTAAAAATGCTACTGGAAGTTTTCCTCGTCTGAGATAAGTATGTCTTAGCTCGGAACCGAGAGCCAGTAGATAAAAGTTGTTTGTACATCATACCTAACGGCGGCGGCCAGAGTATGCCGAAAGCGAGTTCAGCCGAGCCTTGTGGAGCGAAAGGCGGACCATTTTGGCAGAAAACACAGCTCGCGGGTCGGCAGGCGAGTCTCGACAATTCTATCCGTATCGCCTCACGACGTAACAAAACTAGCTCATCTATATTAATCGACAATCATTGGTAATCTGCCTCTGGGAACTAACACATAGATCCTGGAAACACCAAATGCAATTCTGGGGCTGTTTGTTCTTTGGGAACTCCTCTTTAGCTCCTGGGGCCAATTCCTGTTTCCAGGATACCGAGTTCTACCCCTGGGATCTCCACTATATGATCCTGATTGATTATGAACTGGTTTTGGGAACACATTGGCTGGATCTGGGAGCTGTCGCGCTCCTGGGACCCTACTTCTGGATCCTAGAGTCAATATTATGCCCACTAGGGTCGCGGGAAGCCCTCACAAGACACCTTCACCAGACCTGCGCACAAATCTGCGTCATTCGATTACTTCCGGAAAGGCTAAGCCATAGCCCCAGGAACCGCACTTGAGGTTCCAGGAGGTGATGAAACTGTCAACAGGAACATGACTTTGGTTCCCCGAGGGGAGGGCATTAAGCCCCAGAAGCTCCGTTAGGCTTCCTGGAGGCTATATGGCTTCTAGAAGCGGCACATATGCCCCCAGAAACCGCACTAAAGCCTCCGGGAGCAAGAGAGCTCCCAGGGCCAATATTTGCATTCCCAGGGCTGATAGAGCTCTCAACAGGGGCGTGACTAATTTTGTGAGGGTGGGAATGATGACTCTAAAAGTTACGTACGCTTTCTTGGGGCTATGTGATCACTGGGAAGCTCACATTATTCCCGGGTCGACTTTTGAAATGTTGACGGCCATCATGGTTGATGCGATCAAGATTGATGGATATTTACGCAGAGCAGGTCGTCAACCATCACCTGCTTGCTACGTCAAACCACCCAGCATACTGCTCCAATTTTGGCCACGATTGGTTGGCTAGTCAAATCAATCGACGAGCATGCTTTGGTTTCAATCAGGAAACTGAATTGGTAGGTTATCTTATCAACTCTGTAAAGTCCATGACCCTACTCGTCCCACCTCTAATGTTTTTGGACTTCACCTCCCGCATTCTTGAAATCATCATCAAATTATGCGACTGCCCTTTTCCCGCAAATCCGGTTGACTCGTTCCTCACTCCTACTTTAGGAGGTCGATGGAACCCCTATTTGCCTGTTTATAGGTCCGTGTGCGCACTCTGCTAGTGTCCGCGTAAGGCGAATGCGGCAAAAGGCACGAGAGACATAATTGTCAGGATGAGGAATTGATTGATTGATTGTAGGTGTTAAAGATCGGTCGAACGATCTCAGGGGTCTATACAAATAGGCTTCGGCGTGTTACAACACCGTACTTCCGAATGTGCCCGAAATACCGTACAAATACTAGGGGGAATTGGGTGAACGATGAATAAGCCTGTCCCAAAGGGTCCTAGTGGTATTTGACCACTCTCTCAGTTCGTCATTAACAGCAAACCCGGAAGCGGATGCTGGGCTGTCCAATGAGCAAGTGGTCTATTTTCTTCCGAGTTTGGAATGGAAAGATCTCAATTCAGATGTGACTAATTGCACCATGCTCATGTTTTTGGATCCTGGCCCATTAATCTTCAGGAGAGCTTCCAGCCATGATGTGAAGTCTAATCGTCTTGCAGAGTCGAATTGGCTAAAACATCCCACCTAATTTGGCCATGGCGCATTCATTGTCTTTTAAACTCACACTCAAAGATTACGACCCCTCAAAATAAAAAGGCTTTAATAAAAATGCCAGTAAAGAAACCTAGCCAAAAGGGCAGACTCTCCTCACGTAAACTTAATGCATACCCACTATTAAAATGATGCGAATATCAATCTGTCAAAAGTTGATATTAAGATTTTAGCCGTGAGGTCATATCATCGTCATTAGTGCGGCATAGTGGGGGAAGTTCCAACCTTAGCCTTAGCTGACTTACTGTCGAACTGATAAATATGCAACCCTCAATCATTGGGATATTCCTCTATGTTAATTTTTAATTTGGCTAACATATTGAACGTTTAATAATACTCAGAAAATTCCCGACAATGGTCCGAGCTACCATCTTCAAGGATTTGTTAATATTGGCGGCACCTGTTGTTGCCAGTATCAATTATCCACCCATTCCGGAGGACTTGACAACACCATTCCAGGTGCGCTTGGCAGTCAGTGGACACAATGGTAAGAAGGAGCAGCCATCAAATGAACATGTTTGGAACCGAAAAACTCACGAAAATCGTAATAAAGCTGTCACAATTGGATGGAATACATACGAAGCATTCAATAAGAGCTGTGTGGCATATGGTACCTCACCGGACAACCTGAGCTCTCACTCATGCTCGTCCTCTTCGGTGACCTACAGCACCTCCCGCACCTGGTCTAACATGGTAGTATTGAGTGGCTTGGACCCGGCCACCGCGTACTACTACAAGATCATTTCGGCGAACTCGAGTGTGGAACCTTTCCTTAGCCCTCGGATTCCCGGAGATAAGACCCCCTTCAATATGAATGTCGTTTCAGACTTGGGAATCTACGGCAAAGACGGGTTCACAATTTCGAGAAGAGACGCAATCCCTTACGTCCAGCCCGAGTTGAACCACACCACTATTGGCCGTCTTGCCAAAACACTTGAGGACTACGAAGTCGTCATTCATCCGGGTGACTTCGCATACGCCGACGATTGGTACCTCAAGCTGCCAAGCGCGCAAGAGGGTCAAAAGGCCTACCAGTCGATTCTAGAAGGATTCTATGAGCAACTTGCACCAATCACTGGACACAAAATTTACATGGCCAGCCCAGGTAACCATGAAGCGGACTGCAGCGAGGTTCGACGTCTCCTTAAACTGTGCCCCGAGGGTCAGGAGAACTTTACCGATTTCAAGCACCACTTTGGAAAAACCATGCCTCAACCATTCACTTCGTCTTCATCTAACAAATCCGCTCAGACGCAGTCCGACAAAGCGCGTAATTTCGCGAGGCCCCCTTTTTGGTATTCTTTTGAATACGGTATGGCGCACGTGGTGATGCTCAACACGGAAACTGATTTCCCTAATGCACCGGACTCTAAGCTGGAAAGTGGTCCATTTGGCAAAAAAGGCGAGCAGCTGGAATTTCTGGACGCCGATTTGTCCAGCGTGGACCGGGAAGTGACCCCATGGGTCATTGTGGCTGGCCACCGTCCGTGGTACAGTACCGACTCTGTGCATCGTTGTGAGTCGTGCCAAGATGCATTCGAAAAGCTGTTGTATAAGTATGGCGTCGATCTAGCCGTATTTGGACATGTGCACAACTCACAGAGATTGCTCCCTGTTTTCGATGGGATTGCTGATCCACGCGGCATGCACAACCCGAAAGCCCCTATGTATATTATTTGCGGTGGTGCCGGTAACATTGAGGGTCTGATTTCTATTGATGAAAAGCCTTCTTACACCAAGTTTGCTTACGCCGACGAGTACAGCTACAGCACGCTGAAGTTTCTGGATGACAAGCACCTCCAGATTGATTTCATTTGCTCATCAACTGGTGAAGTCCTAGACTCCAGCACATTGTACAAGGTTCATTCCAATCCATTTGTTATTCAGTAAAAATGGAGTTGCGGGTGCTGATGGGATACATTTTTTTGAATGATCTTTTTCAATGCCTTTTATTACGGCTCTGTTGAAGTTTACCACATTTAAGGAATTGCCGGCGCATCGGAATAATAAATTATTGAGACCTTTCTGGGCTCCCAAACTCGTTATAGTGGGAATATTTATCCTTCTCAATCAAGCAACAAGCAGGTGAGTCCTTCAGCACCACTTTCTGACTTAGCCTACGTATAATTGTTTGTTGAAGAACGGAACCGACTCACAATATCTGAATGTGATAGCCTCAAACAAGACTCAGGACGAAATGGCATGCATTTGTTACAGAATGAATTTTACGGCTGCATTACCATCACGCCTGGCGCCAAAGCGTTGTGTGCAGGGCAAGATTTGACAGAGCATGCTTCCTCCCGCCGGAGCCCCAATACCGCGGCCCAACTCCCACTGATCAACCACCCGCCTACAGAGTTCATGGGACTCAGCCAGCGCAAAGGCAAAACCCCGTTATCGCTGCTGTGGATAGATTTGCGCTAGGTGGAGGGTTGAAATATGTCTCACTTGGTAGTTGGAACGCTAAAGCAGCTGTTACTGTTCTTCTGTGCTCGGAGCTTATGTACAATTCCTCTAGTGATATCATAGTTGCATCGCCTCAAGCTCTGTTTGGACCACCTGGGGTTTCAGGTTTACTACAAGCTGCAGCTGGAGGTCTGCCTCAGTGAACTTGTAAGAGGATATGGTCCGCTAGGGACATAATAATGGTGCTTTGCCAATGGTCCCTGAACTCTGTTCCCTAGCCCGCTTCATTGGGCAATAGTATCTAAGCTATATAAAATGATGCTACGACTACGTTGAGTGTAGATACATATAAATTGGATTAAAGCGCTGGGAGGTTCGTAATCCTGTTGATGTTTGGCTGAGAAGCTGTTGAAGCTTCAATGGATTGATTTCCCGTTGAAGACTCATCAAATATTGTGCGGTCAACACCATCAGCAAAAAGAATCGGTTTAGAGTGGCCGCATTTCTAGTTTCATGCTCTAAGATGCCCTATAACGTCTTGCATTTCTTTTTAGATATATGAAATGTTTTGTTTCAAGTTGCCGTCATACTCATTTACTGTGCTTTCCGAAAGCGGACATACAGACCAGTGGCTCGATGAAAGGTCGAAAGCCGATGTCAATGACAGCTTCAGATGCACTAAACTTTTGTTTCTCTATTCCTTTGCAGTACTGAGTCTTGATTATAGATAGTTGGAACATTTCAAGACCTCCATTACTTCTCACGATTATTGCTCGCCCTGGAATGGCTCCAAGCGCTGGCTGGTCCGGACGCCAAAGTGTCAGAAGCCGATCTGAGCTAGTACCACTACTGGGTGAATTATCCCGAATCCCCGCAAAAAAAGAAAATTAGTCGCTATGGTGCACATGCTGGGCGAAACACTTACGAAAAATCACTGCAGTCAAATTTCCCGGGACGAGCCAAAACGACTCTTAAGATGCGGATCCTAAATGAATGAATACTATGGCCTACAGTTGTTATTTCTAGTAGGACCGCCTAAGCACGGCGGCCGTATCAATCACGATGAAAGGATGCCACAGAAGCGAAAGGCCCCAACCACAGAGACAGTTGGGTTGAACAGGATACAATAACTCCGTCCAAAGCCCCATCGGCCAGCGTGGGTAAAGCATGGGTGAGGCAAAATGAAAGATCTTGGCATTTCAGTGACGATGTCTCATAGAAGATTGGTGTGGTTTCTACGTCACAGTATCTACTATATCATTACACTTACATTAGTATGAATTTGGTTCAAATGGTTACAATATCCACCTCGTTCTAGTTGAAATGAAAATCCTCGAATAATTTGGTTCCCAAGGACAAAACTGGCCGGATTAGGTCAGTAAAGAAGTGGTACCCACTTATTGTGCTTGAGTGACATATGACCGTATGACCAGATCAAACGAACCTTCCGGGAACGGAGAACTCGGATATGTTGCAACCCATTGCGCGTGCAGATTCAAGCAAAGCTTGGTCCATCAAAGTAAATTAAGGGAAATTAAGCCCGTAGATAGATAATCTTTTTATTTGCATAGATGGAAATGCTCAGACTTGACTTTATGGATCCCCGCACCAAATCACACGAGCTTTCAATTCTACTCTCCTGATCCAAGCTGAAACTTATTACTAATCTGCTGGGGTCTATAAAGTCGATTTGAGAGCTTGCACCTAAGTCCCTAGCGCATGCACAGTACCAACTAAAATGATGAGGTTCTGGCGGCGTCTTCACCACCAGACCTTTCGGGCCTTCAACGCCAACAACGACAACATATACGACGAAGAGAATCTTGGAATGGGACGTGGGATATTGCAATTCCCACGGAGAAAGAGCCAACTTGTACCAAGGCCGAGGAGGGCTACGGTAATTCTCCTTCTGATAGACCTAATGGTCGTCGGACTACTACTCCAGACTTTCGAGCCGCTCATCACACTGCTACGCAGAAATGAAGAGCTCTTCGGGTCTCGAGTAGCGCTCCACATTCCGTATACACCAGACGGTCGACATCAAACCACCTTATCCTACCAGATACCGCGAATTCTACACCAAACCACCGCAACCGAGACGATTCCAGACAAGTGGATCGAGCCGCAGCAGAGTTGCAAAGGGGCCTATTCAGACTTTGAATACAAGGTATTCATAATCCGTAAATTGTGGAATGTGCCATATATCTACGAAGGCTTAGCTGCCTATCGTATAAGCTGGCTACTTTTGGACTTGACTGATTGATTCTATAGCTGTGGACCGATGAGTCCGCTCGAAACTTTCTCTCCGTCGAATATCCCTGGTTCGTGGATATCTGGGATACCTACACCTTCCCAATCCAGCGTGCAGATGCTCTACGCTATTTCGTCCTGCATCATTTTGGTGGTGTCTACCTTGACATGGATACCTGGTGCAATCAGAGTTTCCCCATTCACGAAATTGAATTCGACAATTTGACAAACTACGCCTTGTTCAAATCAACAGTGCCAACTGGTGTATCCAACGACTTCATGATTGTCTCTGCCCGGCATCCAGTTTATGCCGCAGCAATTGCCAAGCTACCTATCTTTCATGAGATAACTCACCTTTGGGCTCGATGGCAACCATATTCCGCCATCATGATATCTGCCGGGCCCATGTTCCTTACTCTGGTGATAAAGGAATACTTGCTTGAGCAGCCTTCGCTACCCTCGCCGGCAGTAGGAATCATCAATGCAACGGAGTTAGCGCCATTCATCACCGACCTGGAGGGTGGCACTTGGCATCGATCAGACACACAGGTAGTCATGTGGATTGGAAATAGGCCATGGAGTTGGTTCCTCATGGGGGCGATTGGGTTAGCTGCTGGCTTATTCATCTTTCACCGGGTACTGATGATTATTCCTGATCGTGTACTTCGCAAGGCTGGTTCCAGTTCCTGCAATCCGAAGCTGGCCAAGGCATCATGACAGATACAAAATAGCAGATTTGCTCTCGAAGCGATCGTTAATGTTATTAAGTGTTATATTTGTCGATCCAGCCACACAGTCGGCTGAAACAGTAGTGTTTTCTTTTGAACGCAGATAGTTCAAACCATGATTAAGGTTATTACAGTGGATCGCTCGCACATATTTCTCTGATCTCAACAGCGAGATCTCCTAATATACCTTCATATGGAGGACTGGACACTTGCACCACGTAATTCTCGCTGTCAACGTTGGCCAAGTGAAGCTCATTCCCAATACGTTTCCAAGGTCCGTTCCAATAAAGGGAAGTAACCAGATCATTTCCATCGCGGCAGAGGTCAATCATTCCCTCTATTCCTAAGCCAAATGCGGCACTTCCACAGACCGATACCACGGCACTTTGGCCATGTGGAATTGAGATCTGATTGACATCCTCGGGGGAGATGAGCCTGGGAGTGTCGCCCGTTTCGTAGGGTTGGCCACTAGTAACAACATTAATCAAAGGTGAGAGCACCAGTTGATTCCATAATCATACCGGACGCAGATTAGATTCCTCAGGGATATGGTAGCTTTGGCCAGGTTATTGTTTATGGTCAAAGACAGATGTTGTGTAGCGTGACAATTCATTTGTCTCGTCTGGTAGGAAAATGGAACGCTCAGTTGAATTGAACTTTGTTCAAATTTTGTACTTCCGCGTGGTGGAATGCTAGGCCGAACTAGTAAAAAAGCTCCCGATAACGACTTAAAGCTATTGGCGGTGGGTGACAATTGCTGAACATAGATTGAGATATTCGGATCATTTCGATCGGGAGACGCGTAAGTCATCTCGATTCGGAAAACGCGCAGGTGGCGAATCAAACCCTAGCGATTCATGGCAGTGGAAGTCACCTGAGGCAAACTTTGGCTAGTTAACTTAACGCATTTGGCAACGCTAGGCATCTGTGTTTCCGAGCCGGAAAGACCTTTCCCGAATTTCCCACCTTTCGGGTTGCCCTCCAATGCTCGTTCCCATACACCCATCTCCGGAGGGCGAAAAAGGTTCACCTTGGTCGCGGAATAGGTCTCTCGGTCAAGGATAACATACACGAAAGACAATAGGGAGTAATTGCACTTTGTGGATGGTTTTGAATTCGTTCAAAGCTTAGTCCTCCGTGTAGCTTCAAATTTTCCATCACCGTCAGTGCTCTGCGCAGAGCCATCGCCTACACACAATTCCTGGTCCGGTCGCTTCAAACATGCAGCATGTTCCGGGTGACATGCTGTGAACAAAAGCCAACAAAGTGCGGACATGAAACTGCCAAATTTTGCAGATGCGCTGAAGCTTGAGACGTCCGCTCTTCAGGTAAGGTGAGTGAGGGATCGCGCTTTCTGCTGCGCCAAGTCTTATACCCCAATACACGAACACCATTACGTAAACTCATGCCATTGTAGGAGCAGCCCATTGTCACCAGTGAAAAGTGTTGTGATGAGTGACCTATCTTCGGCATCAGAGATAAGACCTAGGGGTACTGCGACGCGCTCCATCGCGTCTTCCCCCTCGTCCTCACCGCCCTCACACCATGAAGGGAGGGGTGCCTGGGCCTCTGGCCGTCCGCACCGCGTAGCATTTGTCCATCATGAGCGTACATTTTCTTATCCCAGGTGGGTTCGTCACGAGCTTTTTGCCGGTTCTGGGAAATGCCCGGTGCATCGAGCGCGACCTTTCTGAAGCCACTGCGGAGAGTGCAATGAATCTGAATACAACGTGGCATGAATGGTGACTGCAAGTGAAATCTGTTTGGTAAGCCGGTATGTTTAAGATGCGAATTGATTGTCCCGTCTCAAGCGTACACTCCCTGGACTTGATGAACAGGTAAGCCACAACAATTTTGCCAGATGGATTAAGCCTTGCTGACTTGGATCTTACAACAGGACACCCTCATATTATTGTCACTCGAGTCGCATGCGAAGCGAGCAAATATCATGTCTGCTGGAGCTCCCCTATACCAATGCGATCGCATGCTGCCTGTCCTTCTACATGACCACTGGTGGCGTCGACGATGAGTCACCCAAGGTTCAAACCGGCTATACCGGCCCTTTCCTCCCAACTGATTCTGCGCATCAGATCATGGGTTGATGTGTCTACCTGCCGACTCATACCTGTCTCTCGGCATTCAAACACACTCAACGGATAGCCTTCCTGTGGCTTGGATTCCTGGGCCTCTATAGGGTGATCTTTCTTTTCCTCGGTGTCGCTGATGTTCCTGCCTTGCTTTATAGCAGGTGATCCGTACCTTCGCAGGCGGCTAGATTGTTCAGATCCTCGTGCAAGGGAAGGAGAGGCAAAAGTCACTATTTTCTTCTCTAATAAGTTACCATTGGTCATATCAGCTAAGAATGAGGAGGGCCAATCCGATTGCTAAGTCTCTGGCACTTCTATCCTTTGAGTTACATTGCCCTTGAGGGTATCCCATTCAACCTGCTTTCAACCTGCGGCTTGGATGATCATTTGGCATACCATCTTTGAGTCCCCAGTCACAGTATGAGCTACCTACTCAAACTTATTCCACGCCTCTGAATGACTTCGGGGTCGATTCTAGAAGATCTTATTTCTTTCACAAAGCTCGTACCCGTGGATTTTCTAAAGCCACCTGAAAATAAAACCTTCTTCGCTCATTTTAGGGCAAACAATCCAGCCGTTGCGAATCGTTCAAGGGAGTGTGAGAGCATAGAGCTTACTGCTCAGCATACGGCTGCCCCTTCATGAAATATCGTCTTATGTGATGGCGGAGACGTTTATGTTCGGTCTGGCTTCGGATGGCGCTTACTAGACCGCGATCGGGCTTCAACCGTGTTGCCTCAGCAGTAGAGCATGATTGATCGCATGAAGTAGGGACTACGCCTCACAAAAGCAATGGCCGTAGCTTTGAACGCAGCAGTGGATATTGATTTACGGGAAATTGGCTGGAACTATAGTTCGTAGTTATTGATGGGGGATTCCTCACAAGGTTGCGACAGCTCCCATATATAGAAGAAGCCGATCGGGTATTGCTGATTGTATGCTCGTCCAAAGCTCTCAATAATTTGGTTGTCTATGTGGCAAAGCTACTTTCGTTCTCGCAATCACTGTAAGATGTAGGTCTATTGTACAGTAGATTTGAGTGACTTGCAATCGCTGCCTGATGCGATGACTATGACCATGCAAGGAACAGAGTCCATCGCATCATGTTTATCAGGCCAACGAATCATATTTTCAACACAACACTCCCCACAACACTCACGGCTCACCACAACAAGCGTCCCAGCAAAGCACCCAGATCCCTGCTGCCTCTACATCTTAAAGGCAGAAAAGGACTCTATCGGACCGCAAACTATCAAGGCAGAAGGATGGGGAATACGGGAGATCCCTCAACTCAGTCTCCTAGCAGCTTTTGTTTCTTTCCCGACCTCCTCCTCTTGGAATAAACGAAGCCATAAAATTGCCGGATCGTGGTCCTCGAGATTCCAATACCGACCTCGCAAATATACTGACCGAATCGTGAAATTGCTGGAAGACGAAGCTACGACAGGAGAGAACTTTTGCTATCACGATGCGAATGAACGCCAATCTGAATCGTCTGCCTCAATCTAGATGGAACGTGATAATGCACTCCTCTAGTGTCATTTTCCAACAAATTATGTTCAGACCTGCAGACCGACTGAAGTAAGCACACCTCAAACCTCCCCTGGAAGGAGAGAGAAGGACTAGGAGAAGGTTACAGGGGCCCACAGAGCAAGGCCACCAAGCGCTTCCTGAAGAGAGAAATCGCTGCCGACGTTGAAATCCTCAAAGAGGAGATGGGGCATCTTCGAAGACGCTTGTCTCTCTTCAATCACTTTTGACTGAGCGATGCGAAAGAAACCTGATGGGTACTTTCTCCAGTGGTTTTTAGTAAGATCTGCATAGTCGTAAACTCATCCAAAGGCCCTTACTGCTAAAATAGGTTGAACGTTTTAGATAGGATACCAGCATGTGGAGAATACGTTTTGAAATCCCCTTCAACGATTTTTAATGATAATGAGCGGATATACCTAATTTTTGGATAGCGGACAGTTATATTGCTCATCAACTGCTTTTATGCGCCTCCACCACCTGCGTTGTGTCTTCTCCTGTTAAGTCGTCTTCGAATATTCTCATACAAAGCCAAGCAGGTTATCAAACCCATTTGGTCAAATCCAAGAAATATGGGTGTCTGCCATTATTGGCAGTTATATTGTAATGTTGTCTGAACCAAGTGCGGTAGGTATCATACTAGTGATATCTAACCTCTTGAAATTCATGATCAGAGAGCTAAGAAGAAGTAATCGTCAAGATTATTCGGCAGTATACCAAACCGGATTGTTGGTTCGTGCTGGATCACATTCGTCACGTAATGAAACAACCTTTTCTCAACCGCGAAATGAATTTCTTCGGCTTGAGAGCCATTGAAAGATAATTTCCGTTGGTATTTGTTCCAGATAAATTATCCGATGATATCTATACTATCTACTGAATACGGGAATTATTACGAATGTTTGGGCTGATGATTCATGGTTCGACCAGAACACGAAGAATGAAGCCCAGTAATTGGAAGTGAATACGACATTTTTCCGCATTCGGGAAATCGAATGAAGGTTCCGAATTTCCTTTCGGGTCATTCAAGAGGCAACTGAAATTGGAAATCTTCTGGAGCAATGGCCTGGAGCCTGAGCCCCTATTCGGGCGCGAAAAAAAGACCGTGCGTCGATATGTGACCATCAAAAAAATACGACCAACTTCGTCATGTCTACTCAGTCGGTCACAGAAAGTGGAAAATCAACTATTATCCCGATATTTATCCACGGGAGCGAAGGGGTAGCTTGCAGTTAGAAGTACCATCAGCTGCGAGCCATGTTCCCGATGTGCCGGATGAGGGACTGCGTCGGCCCGAGATCACTAAACATGGGAACGACCGACATGACCGCAATAAATTGGAGCATCTGTCCTCAGATTTCCCACCTCATTTCAAGTGGTATTGCTATATCTTGATACCTAAAACCCCGTCTTAGAAGACTTATAATGAGCAGAGAAGCCGGGGCGATTGTAGAGAAGAGAAGTGGTGGATCGGCTTCCCAAAACAGTAAAGAGGCTGCCTTTCAAGCGTTGCTGAACTGCTCACTCATCACGTATAGCGCCTATTGATTTTGCTTCATAAGTGCCTGGTTAGCGTCTTTCCTTTTTACCACTTAGTCGCTACCTGGAAGATACCAATATTCGAAATTTGGGTGATACGTCATGTGGCTGTACAGACACCATAAATTCGATATAACCACAATCTAGCAAATCGTCTTATGTACAATCCGTGACATAAAGACAGACTAATCATCGCCAAAAATATGTATCAGTGAGAAGTAAAATCCATATGTACCGCTTTTGCCTAATTAGCCAAATCATAAATTCGTCGTAGGCTCTGGTGCCTGCTCTATATCCAATTCTCCCTTGTTTTTGTTGAAAATTCCGCTGTTTATGGTGGAATCCCCGCTGGTGTATTTAACATTCTCAACAATCAAGCGTTCAGGATATGAGCCTTATTAGCCTTTTTCGACAGGCGGCCATTGCGCTTATGCCGCCATCCGGGGCCCCATCGCGCCACGACGAACAGAAGTGGAATGCTAATGATGACGATGCCAGCTAGCAGTAAGAATGTATACAGAGGAGTGAGAGCGTCGATGATATACTGGACAGCTGCAACACCGCCTGCACCGATGAGACATCTCATTAGGTTGTTGACGGCTGTTGCACTAGCGCTGGCACCGGGGTAGAGATCGATGACGAGGGCACTGTTGAGGGTGAAGATGGCGGTGGAACCGTACGCAATCATGAACTGCAGAGTAATGGGAACTGCGAGGTGGGTGCGAAGGGAGAGACCGTAGACCGCGACACAGATAACAAAGATTACTGTGATCCACCAGGTGTTGCGCGTGCGGGCGTATTCAATGGGGAAGCCGGGGTGCGACTTGGTGGTGATGCGGGTACCAGCGAGGAGGTTGTGCTGCTGGCAGTATTCACGCTCAGTCTTTTTGTAGTTGAAGTCCATGAGGTATCCTATGGTGTAGGAGCCGGTCATGCATCCAGCTCCATTGCCGAGGAAAGTCAAGCCGATCTCCAGAGTGTTCAGACCATACATTTCTTCAAACAAAGCCGAGGTGGAAGAAGTGACCATGGACCAGACAGTGTACACGATGCTACCGTATAACAAGGTGAGGAAGACATCAGCCTCACCCAAGAAGGTGAGTGGTTCGAAGATGGTTTTCCAGGTGACCTGGGCCTTCTTTCCAGTTGGCTGTGCGCCTTCAATGGCGTCCTTTTGTCCAGTGACGTAGTAGATCAAAGGCTTGTACACTCCGTGGAGAGGGACGGTACCATTTCCAGCGATGGGGCGGAGGGTTTCAGGGAGGAAGCAAATGATAGACATCATGCTTATTCCAGATACGATCGCCAGGCCCCAAAAGATGGCCGAAACACCAAGATATTGAGACAAGATACCGCCAAAGACGGGGCCCACTCCTTGTCCCAACATGCGGACTGGAAAATGTTAGTTTGTGACTTCCATCTGGCTAGCGGGTAGCTTACCTCCACCGAATATGCCAACGAGACTGCCTCGCTCTGCCGAGGTGGTGATATCGCCAATCACACCGGCACCAATGGATATAGTGGCAGCACTGCCGGCCGCCTGCATGGCTCGGAACACCATAAGCTCAGCATAGTTTGTAGAGACAGCCAAGGCAATGTTGGCCGCAATGTAGACGATAAATGTTCCGATAAATATCGTACGGCGGCCAAGAACATCGGAGAATGAACCCCAGAAACTAGGGGAAAGTCCCTGCATGATCATGTAGATCGTGACAGTCAAGGTGGTTAGGGAGATGGAGACGTTCAGGACCTATGCCGGGGTTAGCAGGAGGTAGTCCAGCCTATATATAAGGTCAACCCACGCGCGAGATCTGTGCAATCGCAGGGAAGTAGATGTTGGAGGACAATGGGGAGAAGATGGCGGCGAAAGAGACTATGTAGACCATCTCTAGCTTTTGTCCTCGAGAGAAGACATGATATGGCGATAGCTGTTCGGTTTGGCCCTCGAGGTTGGGTAAATATGGTGCTGGGGTTGTGGGCGTTTCGATCTCCTTCTCTGTTGTTGAGGTTACTTTGGTTGGTATTGAAGGTGCTGTGACATCGTCATCATCCTGAGTGATGAGCGTAGGTCTCTTATTGCGCGTGTGGCCGGGACCCTTGGTATCACTCAGGGTCTCAGTGGAACTGAATTGAGGCATGATGGGAAGGATATTATAGAAGGAGGTCTTTGCGTATATGCAATCAGACAATCAGGCAATCATTGAGGCCAGTAAAATGTGTCTTCATTTGGTCTAGACAGCTTTAGATGAATCGGAGGCTTTTGCAATAGAGCTGTGGCGGCCTTTTGTATCCCAACTCCAGCCCCATTCGTATGTGATAATGCTCCGATTATCGAAATTACATATAGAATATGAGGACCTGTGAAAATGACGCCGAAAATGACCACTTTTGACGCCAGAAACGGCTTCCTTTCCACCCGTAACTTTGAATGTCCAGCCGCCCCTTGACCGCCCACTGCCCTGTAACACCACTTTTCTGCACCCACCTAGTACCGTTAGTCATCCTCCGGTCCTGATGTTGACGCTCAACTTGTACAGTTGTTCCCCTCGTTTCCACTGGCGACCAAGACGACGCCGAAAATGGCTCCCCTTCGGCTGAATCTGAGTCCCCTCCCTTTTCGCCCAGTTCATTTGAGCGCCTATAAGATGCTTCGCCTTCCCTCCCTTCCGGTGTCCTCGCATCTCCCATTCTCTCATCCTCGTTGCGCACGCCTCAAGCTGACCTTTACGTCGTCGTTTCCCGTATCACGAATTTTCCACCCTGGTCTTTGTATCTGACTTCCTCCATGGCACCTACGCCTGTACATCCGGCTCAAACTGATGAGCACCAATACTGGACCGATCCCATTCTTTGCGAGGAAACTCGAGCCAGACTGGAACATTTTCGCAGTCTTGGATGGCTCCCTCCAAACTTTAAGCCAAAGACCTTAGAAGGCATCGCTGTCGTCGAACGTTATTGGCGAAAGTGAGTGCTCACTTAGTCGGGAAAAGTCTTCTGACTGAGAATAACACGGGAATAGATATTGCATTCAATCGAACGAGGACTATGTGGACTTTCTTCTTTTGGAGGATCAGACGATCTACATGAACTTTTTTGATTGGATGTTCAAAACATCACGAAAGAAACTGCTTCAGTCATATGACGAATACTGGCGACGCCTTTGTCAATACTTCGAGCTATTCGCCCGTCGCCGTGTCGGTGAGGATGCCCGTCAACAGATGCGACGAGTAAGTTATATCCTGTCTGTTCCTAAACAGAGTATGCTTACCTTAGAAAAGTTTCTCGAAGGTGTATTCCCAGCCGAGCGCAAAATTCCCCGACGAACAAAGGACAAAAATACTCTAGATGTGGATGCTTTTGGTGTGATTTACCGGCATCACTGGGTCCATTCGAGATTCTTTCGTCACGGGAGCATGATTGTTCAGTTTGCTGCAGTCCAGCTCTGGTCCGCCATTACAGGCACGCGACCTGGCGTCTTGCTTCCTCAAGACACCTCGTCGCCTGGCAATCCAGTTTTGGGCAAACGCAAACGGGATGACACCTTCCAGAGTGATCTTCCCAAGCACATTTCCTTGAAAGATCTTCCGGACTCGGTCTGCTATCGCGATATCGAACTTTTCTACCTGAAAGACCTTCAAAGTAAACGTGATGTCCTCTGTGCCATCATCGAGTTTCGCAATCTCAAGGGTCGACCGGAAGGCGCTGATGGGTAAGCTGAAATTTTGATTCGAATTTCTCATGAACCAACTTCGATACTGATCCTTGCCAACAGAACCAAATTCTTCATGCACGGCGATTATCAACTGGCATATTGCCCGATAACTCAGATCATTGCGTTCGCTTTCCGCGATAGAGCTTTTGCCAATGCCGACCTCACACCAGAGCTCATTTGGAGGCTACGAGTTCCAAGAGGCAATTCATCTCTTCCCCTCCGGTGGAAGCCCGAGGTTCTTAATGTGCCTCTCCTTCGACGTCTTGAACGCACTCCATACGGCTACAGACTCGATGGGTCTTTGCCAATGACCTATGATTCAAGTCGACAGGCGCTCAAGGAGTTGGGTCGAGATGCTAGATTTGAAGACGATATTGGGCATTACAATTACCGCCGCTGGACGGCAAATGAAGTCAACAGTATGTCACTTGCTAAACGCGATATGATGGATTCATTTTCGCTATGATAGATGAGATCACTCGCAACGGAGCTGACTATCTATTCGCAGAAAATTTTACCAGCCAGGAGCGACAAAGGGTGCTCGGGCAGTCTGGTGACGCGGTGTTTGAAAAACATTACCAATCACAATTTATTGCGCGCGACCTTCAGCATGTCGTTCTTCTTCGGCCCTCCCAAGAAGGTCTAGTACGCTTCGCTGGGAGCATGCTTAGGAAGAGAGATTTATCGGCACCATCTGATCTTACCGAAGCTCATAAACGTGCTATTTGCCAAAACCCTGAAATTCTGCAACTGAGACGCGAGAAAAGAGAGCTTATGGCGGAGATGCGGTCCGTGGCTGGCACAATCAAGAACGCCCGTGACACCTTTCCACACCTCTTCCAAAGACATGAGACTGTCAAAAAAGACCTGGCCAAACTTCGGAAAGCATTGGCGATCGAAACTCGCGAGACAGCCAGAAAGGACTATTTTAATAATGCTCCCGTGCTTGAAGTTGACCGACAGATCAAGCAAATGCTTCTCGGCGAATCTGATGTTGAGGAACGCGATGCTGATAGTTCCGCTGAAGAGGACTGGGAGCTCCCTATCCCGGACTACGTATTTCCTGAACGAGCTCGGCTTGTGGAGAACTTTTACGGTCCTGACGCAGAAGACTTCCATGAGGACAAATTACTTACTCGACGCATCCAGGTTACCAAAGACATGGTTGCACTTCTACTGCTTTGCGAGCCGAGCAGGCGAGGCAACCGTGTTAATTGGGATCTCGATGAAGAGGAAAACATACATACTGAACAGCCCGAGCAACTGGCGTCTGATGATGATACACAAATATGTCCAACAGACGTTTGCATCATCTGCTTTGGTGAATCTCGTCGCTCGGCGTCAAACCCTCCTCCGCATAAATTTCCTTCCAAGCGACCGGACTCACTTCGTCGTCATCTCATCGACTCTCATCTGCTTCATGCACACGACGGGATCAGCTGCAACTGGGAAGCATGCCGCACTCTTCCCAAGTTTGCCAAAATCACCGAATTTTTGGCCCATGCTAATAAAGAACACGAATATGATATCAAAATTAAACTATGTCATCTCTCCGAAAGGCCACGGGCTAGCCACCGTGACGGTTCTTCCAGAGAAACATCTACGGAATCAGAGAATCGGCAAGGCACTGAAACTCCCGCCTCCTCTGTCGATTTTGATATGACAAATATTGATCCTCGATTGATGAGACCCGGCCCTATCACCGTCGTGAAGCCATCAGCCTGCCCGTCAAACACTGACATTTCCGCCTCCCCTCCTGGATGCCCAGTGACGACCACTGACTCAAATTCGGCGGAGATTTCTGCACGGCGAGTGACAAGGGGAACAGCAAAGGCGGCAAATATAGAGCCTGGTCCTAAGCTGGAATCTTCATCACAGCATGCGACGCGCTCGTCTCGAAAAATTCGGCGCCCAGAAGAGCAGCCTGGGAGGCAGCAGAAGGGTAAAGGACGGCCAGGCAAATCGAAAGCCTCTAGTGTTAGATACACGCCACGTCGGTCAAAGCGATTACGAACCCAGTGATTTGTGGCCTTGGGGATGATTCTTTTTGTTCGTATATTTGGACGCAGTTCAATAGATTTATTGTAGACCTTATCTCGGAAGAATTTCTGGCTTAGCAATGATACTAGTTCCAGACTATCGTTTACTTTGAATGGCTACGAACAGTAACTTGCATTCTGATGGCGTTCAAAGATAAAAAATTACGGAATGATAATAAGGCAATTGCGTCGAGTCGGGCTAGGTAGTAAAAATGGCTTAGGCCCTTCTATGAAGCTTTCCTTTGCCCACTCTGGATATCCTACCTTGGGGTGCTTCGAGGCCCCTATAGATCTAGAAAAACCGTCTCCTGGCCTGTGCGGTTCGCTGTCCAAGCGAGACGCACATCGAGTGCCACGAAGCCAACCATGTAATAGATCTGTGTAATAATGTCCAGACGGGTCCCAAGCCTGGAGACGTTAGTCCGTGGTTGGAGAGCTGCGACCACAAGGCCTCGGTTCTAGGCCCCGTGATCCAGCACAGTTAACGTAAGGCCAAGCACTGACGGCTGTGGACGCAGGACCCACATCGGACGGGTGATATCTGGTCCCAGGTTCCATGCTCCCAGGCATGCTATTGATTGCTCCCAGAATAGTAACCAAAGCTCCTAGGGTACCACCTCACGTTCCCCGGAGCAGTACAGTTCACTCCCAGGAGCTGTAGATCCTCTGGAAACTATGATTTTGACTCCTAGAAGCGACTCAGAGCGTGTCTGGGAACCTGTGAGGGTCTCACGTATCCGTAGATGAGTGATCAATATTAAAGAAAGCTATAGTCGACTCTAGATACAAGACGTAGCGCGAGGAAGCAAAAGGAACGGGCTTCCTCGCGTTCAGGGGAACCCATATGCACCATGTGGGTCCCGCAGATCATTTCTCCAAACATCCTGTATACTTCAGGTAGATCCCTGACATTACCCCCCTCCTAAACAACTAGGAGCTCCTGCGACGCCATAGCTCAGTAGGCGAAGGTCGATCTGGGTTCTGGTTGTGGAACTCGTACAAAAGTTCGCCACTCCCTGGGACCAGGTCCTGTTGGGGTCGCCACGAAGGAGAGTAGCCTTTCCATCTCACGTAGTACTCCAGTCTTCTCTTTCCATGTCGATTCTTGGTGATGCGTGAATCCAGTATCTTTTCAATCATCCACTCTCTTCTCTCGGTGTTATCTTTATTCAATCTGATTCGGGGTTGAGTAGATTCGTTCTGGCTAGGGAGGGGATCCGAAGCTGCTGGGCGGAGCAAGCTCGTGTGGAACACGTCGTGAATTCTCATCGCTGGGGGAAGCTCCAAACGGTACGTGACTGGGCCCATGACTTCTGCAATTCGAAACGGTCCAATGAACTTCTCCGAGAGTTTCCTGGCTGGTCTTTCTATACTCAAATTCTTTGTC